CTAAGTCTACAACTATACCTCATGGTGTTTCACTAATAAAAATTTTTAAAAAAATGTATTTTGTATTGCTTGCTATAAATAACTGACTAAGAATGATCCAAAAAGGTTTCCGTAGAGGAAAGTGTATGAAAATTGTTGTATCTCATCTTGGAGCCATTGGTCACCGGAATTAGAGACAGAGAGCTAATTTAAGGACACTGGGCAAGGACCTGGAGAAAGCAGCGGGTTCTTGTTCATCAGGGACCTTTGGGTAGCAGACAGAGAGCACCACCTAGTGAAACTGGAAAACGAGGAGCGCTGACCTTGTGGAAGAGGCAGATCATAAAAATTTTTGTCAGTGCTAGTCCCGCCTGAACGGGTATTTGATCATTGTATAATTGAAACCCAAGCACAAAATTTGTAAGTCTACGACTGTACCTCATGGTGTCTCACTAATTAAAAAAAAAAAAAAACCAATTTCCTTCCTCCCCACCCCAATCCCGACCCCACAGGATACTGGACTATTATGAAGGTGAGTTTGTGGGGCCGGGATGATGTCGGAGCTGAGGTCAGGGCAGAAACTGGGGAATCGAGTTGATTCAAGTCGTGGCTCCAACATGGGAGCTTGTGGTGCCCGAGAGGCTGTTCTTAGCTTCCCTGTAGCTATTTGGTGGAGCAACGGCCTGGGAGGCAAGCAGGTCCTACCCATCTGTAATGTTAGTGTCAGGGACTAGAGCAACAGTACGGTGGGCAGAGCGTTTGCCTTGTATGTGGCCGACCCGGGTTAGATTCCCAGCACCCCATAGGGTCCCCCAAGCACCATCAGGAGTAATTCCTGAGTGCAGAGCCAGGAATAACCCCTGTGACTCAAAAGGGGGAAAAAAGTGTTAGTGTCAGATGGAATTGTGTTCTTTTGGGGCCACACCCGGTGATGCTCAAACTGACTCCTGGCTTTATGCTCAGCCATCACTGAACCCCTGGAAGGGGCTGGGGGACCATTTATGCATCTGGGAATTGAACTCAGGTCAGCAGAGTCAGGACAGCACCAAATCCCATCTGTGATATTTTGCCTGGTCATTGAAAAAAGAATAAAATATTCAGGGGTCAGAGCGATAGGACAACAGGTAGAGTATTTGCCTTGCATACAGTTGACCAGGTTCAATCCCTAGCATCCCATATGCTCCACTGAGGACCACCAGGAGTAATTCCTGAGTGCAGAGGCAGGAGAAACCCCTGGGCATTACCCCCACACACCCCAAAAAATAAAGGATAATATAACCGAAGTTCTTCTTTTCTAAGAAAAAAATTGGTTCCATTAATCAAGTGTGACCTTTCTACAACGCTAATAATTGTTTTATGAAAAGGAAGATATTTTTATTTATCCCCCTTCAGTATTAAACTTGTTTTAAAAGTGGAAAATCTTTGATCATGGTCTTAATTGTATTGTTGTTGTTTTTGTCTGTTCTGGAAATCTACAAGTCTAGAAACTACCACATCATCATTTCTCATTTTATGACTGCTGTAGTTAAAACTCGAAGTAGGAACATGAGGGATTCAAGGCGCACCCCAGTTTTATCAGGACTGATGCGTGTTACACGCAGGACATGCGTTCATCTGTCCCTTTTCGGAAAATTGCCCTGGATTGTCCTTAAACAGGTTTTATTCCATATTGGCATCCCAAAGACCTCTCCCCGAAACAAGAGAAAGACATAGATTCTATCCAGGACTTTTGAAAGATGATCTGAACTCTAGTCCATTCTTCCAAGCAGCCTGAAATCACTGGCATTCTGACACGCTTCCTCCGCCCACCCCTATTTTCTATGCCACCGTACCAGATCATTAAGCTGCACCCAAGCTTTCTCTCTCCACAAAACACAACTGGCTTTGGATAAGTTACTGGAGGCTGATATTGTTTCAGGCCAGTAACTACAGCGTCCATTGCCTCTCCCATTCCCTGTGAAACTGTTCGCACGGTCTCCACTTCAAGATGAACATGTTGCGGACAACAGGTTTTATCTTCCTTCTAGTACCCTGAGTGCTCCGCTTGCAGTAGGCACTCAAATTCGATCAGGAAAATGTGATCACTTTCTTCGTACAAGGAGCACTTTAATAAGCCCCCAAATATAGAAACGTCATCGGGGTGCCCTTGGTTTTACGAATGACAGTCAGGAGCTAGGGGCCTGGAATTGCATGGGAATGAGGAGGCAGCCCTTGGAAACCCTTTAGTCCCGAGGCTCTGGTTCCATTTGGTTTCTGAAGGGCAAGGGAAGAAAGTGACACAGGATGAAAGCAAAGGACAAAGGGGAGAATCCCCAAGTGAGGAGAGAGACAAGTTCTGGAAAATTCCACAGTAGGTCGGCTTCCCCCCTCCCCCGCCCCGCCCCTGCCTCATTCCAGGTGACAGCCTGTGAAGCAGGGAAAGAGTGGTTGGCCCTCACAGTGCAGCTTCCACCTCACCCTAAGGAGACAAGACACTGGTTCTGGCTTCATCCACCCTGACCCAGTGCTCTGTGAGCCCCCGGGGCCACTCCCTGGGTCTCCTTTGTGGCTCTTTGCTCTGGCCTCCTGTGGCCCTTCCCATGCTCCCTTTCAACTGCCCTCATCTGTGGCCTTTGCTCTTGCCCCATTCGGCTGCTTCCACATTTGCAAACAGTTTTCTCCCATGACAGGAATGGGCCAAGAGTTGCTCAATAAAAATGTTGCCCCGCCCCCTTGCCCTACAGACTCTAGGGTTTTTGGGTTCCATCTGGCTGGTTCTGCACTTAGGAATTACTCCTGCTGGGCTCAGGGGACCACAAAGGATGCCAGGAAGGGGGAGGGGCAGAAGAAGATCAGAAACCTAGTCAGCTGCATGCCAAGCAAGCTCCTGACCCACTGTGGCTCCTCCTCCTCCCGGCCTTCTGTATCTTTTTGAGGAACTCTGCACCCTTTCCCATCCCCGGCAGCTGTGCACAGGGGCCATGACTCCAGACCTGCTTGGACTGCTGTGGCTCCAGCTGACCCTCTGCCCCCAGGCCCACCACCGACCAGTGGGAAACACTACACCACTAGGCCACCGTGATGGTGATGGGTGCGTCTGTACTGAGCTTGTACAGAAATTTTCTTTTCTTCCCCTGCGACATCTGGATATGCTCAGAAGTTACTCAAAGATGCGGGGTGCTGAGGATCAAACCTGGTTGGGTGCTGCAAGGCAACACCGACCCGCTATGCTACAGCTCTGGCCAAACTTTGTATGCCTTGGGCCGTGTTTTTACTTTCCTGATGGCACCGCAGGAACTGACAACGTTTTCCTTTTGAGGATGACCACCTGAACTAGCCTGGTTTTGGTCTCTATGCTACTGTCCTCAGCAACTGCGAAACTGACTCTGTTCTTTACGAACTTTCAAAGCTGAATTTATCGTGGATCTGGGCCACAGTCAGTGGAGTTCAGGGCTTACTCCTGGCTCTGAGTTTAGGGATCACTCTTGGCAGGGCGCGAGGCATCATATGTTGTGTTGGGGATTGAACCCGGGTCAGTTGGACACAAGGCAAGTGCAAGCGGCGTTACTACTCATTATACTATTACTGCAGTCCTGTCACCTCAGTTTTTTCATGCCACTTCACACTCTGAGCTCACTCGTGCATGTGTCTTAAGGGGTCCAGCTCTGATCTTTGGCGTGGGGGCCTCTGGTGAGCCCAGCATTCTTTGTTCAAGAGATCCTGAGCATTTGGGCCCTACATGTACGATGTGAGCTGCGGAAGGCCAGGCCCGGCCCCTTCCCTGCCATGACTGTCTCTCCTGTCACCAGTGACTCACGCGCTGGCTGGGTTTGATCCCCAGCACCACACAAATCCAGAGAGGGACAGGGCAGGTGTCTCCAGTTGGCGAGAAAGGGAAGTGAAGACACACATCATCAGAGGAGCCTCCGGAGAGCTCATCCCACTACACACAGCTGCAGGAGGAGAAAACCAGTCCTGGCACCTCAGGACTTCCTGGCATCTCTGAGGAGTCCAGTCTCAAGGAGGGGGATCTGGGAGGCACCTTAAGGAGCCTGAAGGAATGAGACTCAAAGAAGCGGCACAGAGATGATGGGTTCTCCATGGGTCCGTATCCACAGCTGTGAAATAACCACCTCTCTGCTGTCCGGTCAAGAGAATGTGGAGGGAATGTGCACCTACCACGCATGGGACATGTGTGTGTGCTGCTCTGAGGTCACAGTTCCTTGGGTCCAGGAGTGTCCCAAATGTTCAAAATTCAGTGATCGGGCACCCGCAGAAAGAAGAAACAAATTCAATGGCTCCTGTGCCCACCCTGGCAGTAGACTCCCAGGACCCACTTACCCACTCCCCTACCTACAAGACTCATCGCCAAGTGCTCCCGAGTGGGTGGTTGTTGGGGCTGACCAGCAAACAGTCCTAGCTGGCGGAGCACAGAGTGACAGGCCTTAACATGTGCCAGGAAAACTCACACAGCATTCTGCGACCACGCGGTGGCACTCTCCACTTTCCCAGGCCAGCACCAGGAAGGAAGGGCTGGTTCCCACCCCTGCAGTGGAGGGAGTGACTGAGGAACCAGCACTCACCTTCAGGGACTTGGCTGATGCCTACCAGGCAGGTTGCCAGCCCAGGGAATCCAACGCCAGTGCCAGACATACAAACCCCAGGACCTCCCAGGGGAAGAGAAGGCGAGGAGAAACCCTGGCCACGCAGCAGGGGCGGCCCCCCACGCTAGCTCACCACTGAAGCCCCCCCGGGGGAGGCAGTCCAGACACCCCCCTTAAGTGCCATGTCCCCCAAGCTACTGACCGAGCGCCCAAAGTGCCGGGCTACGCACCCGCGTCTACATTTGGCTGCTGGGGGCGGCGAGGGCGCTTGGCAGGGGACCACACGGGGAGCCTCCCTTCCTCCCATCCCATCCATTCCTCGGGGACCTCATCCCCACCTCTGGGAGGGATTCTAGTCATGCATTTCCTGCCAACAGCCTTAATTGGTTACATGATCGATGAACTCTCGGCGTTAATTTCAAAGCCCATCACTGCTCTTATGCATGTATGTATTTAACATACGAAAAAGAAGAATTTTACAGCAGCTGCCAAGAGGCTCTTCAGACAATAAAATGTCCAGGTGGTATGAAGCAGGAGGTGTTCACTGTAGGGCCTCTAACACCACGGCTGCCTGTAATGACTCCTTTTTTTACTCATCCGTTTGAACTGAAATCTCCAGGGATGACGGGATCTCCTGGGATCTGAAGGACTGCTGTGCATCAGGGGACTGTGGAGCCCTGACGGACTGTCGTGCTGCGACGGACTGTGAAGACCCGATGGAGTGTGGTGACTCTGCGTTCTGTGGTTCTAGGGAGCCATGTGGAGGCTCGCTGGTCTGTCGTGCCAGGGGGACAATTGGTGGTGGGGGGCGCTGTGGTGCCTGTGTCCCCTGTGCTCCCTGGGTCTTGGGAGTCTTGGCTGTCTTGGTCTCCTTGGCTGCTTTCTCCTCAGGAGTCCGTGCTGCTCTCTTCATGACTTCCCTGGGCTCCCTGGAACAAGAAGAATACAGTCAGCTCTTGAAAGGGACGTGCCCCGTCTGCATCACTTCCTGACTTCAGGAAGGTATTGGAGCTGTTGCCATGGTTTACCCTGCGTCTTTATTGAAAATCTCATCCTCGTCAGAGGAATCCTTGTCATGGAGCTTCTGTGCCATGTTTTTCTTACATGTAGCCTTGAGTGGCTGACACATGTCTCTCAGCCACAGGGGCTGTCTTCGCCAGAAAAAGCCCTTCTGGAAAAGGCAAGGGGAGCTCGTAAGCCTGCACCCCGGCCCACTCTTGTCCTGCCTAAGTGCCGCCTCCCCCCAGTGGTTACCTGACTCTCATGTTCCACTGAACTTCTATGCAGCAATAATCCAAAGAAGGTCCTTGGAGGAAAACACGGACGCACATGATTCGTAACCCACCCCATTTCCCATCCTTCCTAGGATGGAGGTCTCTGGTCTTGTTTGGAAACTACCTTGGTCTGGAGCCATGACGAGTCAAACCACTAGGCCCTGACCCCTTGACAAAGTTTCCATGCATGCCTGTGGCGATTTTTAGAAATTTGTCGGGTCCATTCAAAGGGACCCCGTAGACTCTTGAGAGACCTTTATAGGTACCTGGCTTGGAAAACAGGCAGGATATTTAGTTCTGGTTACCACCATTGCCCCAGCAAATGCCCTGTGCAATGAACAAACTACCCACCACACCGAAAGCATTAGAGTCTGTCCAGAAGCTTTTCCACTGGTCGCCTCTGGATTTAGTCCCTCAGGCACCCTTTACCGAGAGTTGGGGCTGGGGGAGATGATTCTATCGTCCTAGCTGCTTTATCCCAGATGCTGAACCAGAGTAAATGTCTGTGTGCAATTAGCCAAATCCTTTAGCCCACTAGTTTTCATGCTGCAGACAATCGCCCGTGAGCAAAGAAGCCACAGGTATCAGCATCAAAGGCAGGAACCGCACCGAGGCACGGAGATGGGTTTTGAGTGTGAACAGAGGAGAGAGCAGTCTTGCGCTTTACGGGCAGTGTTATCATGTGTACAGAGCCCGTGGGTGCTGAGTGGAGGCAAGAAACGCAGCTCCCAAGTCAATGGAGAGGTCCCAAGGGAGAGGGACCATGCTCTTTCCCAATCACCAGCAGTGTGTTCCCAAGGGCAAGGTAGTTTCCATTCTCCCTCTATTCCTTTTAATAAGAGACAGAGACAGAGGTTGGGGGATGTGGCTCAGTGGTAAAGTATTTGGCTTGCATGTGTGAGGCCCTGGGTTCAATTCCTGGCACCACACTGAGCACTGAGGCTGGAGTGGTCCTGAGCTACTGGACAGATAGTTAAAAGGGCCTTTGGACATGAGGCTCCAACTCTGGCCTCTGGCTCCGTATGTCCTCCCTGAGCACAGGTGGGCTGGCATAGGTAACAGCCACCCCACAGGAGGGACTGAGCAGCCCGGCCTTGCAGAGCCCTAAGACACTAACACTGAACTCAGGAGGCCCAGGTCACGGGCCAAGAAGCACACAGAAGGGCTCCAGGGTCCCCAAGAACCAGGGTGAGGACACTCCAGTGCAAGTGAAAGATTGTCAGACTAATATTTACCTGGATCTTCCATCTTTACACTGTCTTGCTCTATAAGAATAAATCTGTTTTGGAAAAAAAAATATGATCATGATTATCTCGGTGACCGATCTCTCTAAAACCTTATTAATTCCATTGACTTTGCTGTATCTACCCACTGATATCACTTTTTGAGAACAGGAATTCTCTCCTGTTTAATAGTCCCTGGACTCTCCTACAGCACATGACTGAAGGGGCACATTAGGAATACAGTTTAGTGACTGTTTCAGAGAAATTCAGCACATTAATCCAAATTAAAAACTATGAGGTAGGAAATTAAAAGTATCTGCCAAAACCCAAACACAGAAACATCCTTTTCCACAACGTTTTCTAAACAATGTCAAGAACCAGTCTGATGCCTTTCCCATCACCACTCTGCATCCCCAGTGAGGAGTCCTCCCATCACCACTCTGCATCCCCAGTGAGGAGTCCTCATCAATGCAGCAAGCAGAGTCAAGTCTTACAGGAGACAAAACGTGGTTGCATCTGCAATGATTCTTCCCCAAATAAACCCAAAACAATAAAGGTCCTATGAGATATGTTATTCCTCGGGCTATAGATATCATACGGTGGGTGGGGCACTTGCATTGACTGTGGCTGACGCAGATTCGATCCCAGGACTCCAGATGGTTCCCTGAGCCCCACCTGGAGTGATGCCTGAGAGCAGAGCCAGGAATAAGCCCTGAGCACAGATGGCTGTTGCCCCAAATAAATAACTAAATCGATATGTCAACTCTTTGAGCGACTTAGACTGAAATTTCAATACCTGAAGCATTTCCGTGCTTTTGTCCTTAAGGAGATAAAACAGAACAGTGCAATAAGGAGCACGGGCTGCTCTGCAGGTGACCCCCATGTTTGAAAGCGGGATGATAGGGCTGGGGAGGTAGCTCAGTGGGAGAATGCCTGCCTTGCATGCAGGAGACGTGGGGTCGGTACCCAGCACGACAAGAAGAGTGAAATTGGAGGGATGCTAATGCCGTCCTTAGAGGATTGCGAGGATTAAACCAGACAACATACAGGAAATTCCTTGTACTGTGGTTGGCATAAATCAGAGCTGTGTTTGCTGATGATGTCACAAAGGAGCGGCTTAAAAATACCAAAGACTGAGAGAGCTCTTCCTCAGTCAGCACCATGGCTTCTAATTTATTCTAATTCTTTGTTGGTGGTTGTGGTTCTACCAGGGATTGAACCCAGGGCCTCACACCTGCAAGACAAGTGCAACACCACTAACCTATATCCTAAACCCCTTCCATCCCATGTTGCTGTTGTTCATTTTTTGAGGCTCTTCCTGCCAGCTGGTGCTTGCGGGGCCTACTTCTGGGGTGGTGCTCAGGGACCATGGAGCACTATGGCTAGCACCTGGGGTTCCCATGTGCAAAGTGAATTGAAGTTTGAGTCTTTGGACTTATCTCCCTGGCCCTTAAATCACTTTTTTAATGTTCCTGCTGGGAAAAGTCAGTGGTGTGTCATTGAACAGAAGACAGATATAGGCAAGCTCCTGGAGTAACTACCGCACGCCTGCCAGGCTTGAGAGTAGCCCAGGCTACTCTCGGGCTCAGGCTGCAGTGCGGGTGTGTTTGGTTTGGGAGCCACCCAGTAATAGGCAGGAACAACTTGATTTGCTGTTTAGCGGTAGCTCCTGGTGGCTCTGGTGGGGTCATGCATTGCCGAGGATGGAACCCAGGTCTCCCTCACACAAAGCGTGAAAAGTAGCCCTCGGAGTTCTCTCCCCAGTCTTAGCTGCAGTGTTTTAACTTCATCCAGGGAGATGGTGCTTAAACCTAATGAGAGCTACTGCACTGGATCAGGTCCCAGGAGGGTGGAGATTCTACACTTTTGATCCTTCCAGTCAACAAGGAAAGTAATCAGTAGAAGAATGTCAGTGAGTGTTAAGTTAAACCACTGACATCCTTTTGATTTAAAAAGGGGGGAAAAAAGTCTATATGGTGACCAGAGAGAGAGCTGAATGGTCAGAGTGCATGCTTTGCATGCAGAAGGGCCAGGCTGGATCCCTAGTTCTGCAAGGTCCCCTGAGCACCACCAGAAGTGACACCCCCTCTCCCCTCTGCACTGAGCTGGGGGCAGGCCCTGAACATCCCAGGATGTAGTCCCAAACAGCGCACAGGAAGACAACTTTTTGTTTCATCTCTAGCCTTCTTAACTTTTCAAAATTTTCGAAAAGCTTGTTATTTGGGTTCATTTCCACAGGGACCTCTTGGGAGTCAGTTCCCTTCAACAAACCCTGGGATTATCTTTGCAATATGAGAAGCAACCACACCTCATTACTCAAGACTGAAGAGGAAAATCAAGCATCAGTAGGAGGAAAAGGGGCTTTTATTTTCCAATTGTAGCCCCTGAATCTATTATAAAGACAGATGAAATCCTGGAAGTCTGAATGAACTGTTCTTACCTCAATGAGACATAAAATTAAAACCAATAATATCACGACGACAGCCACATTTATTGCAACGACTGCTTTTTGATTGTGGTACACAACATATCCTGGAACTTTTATGAGCTGAAAAATAAAAATTATTTTCATGCATTACTTTTGGGGGGGCCACATTCAGTGATGATGAGGGGTTACTCTGGCTCTGCACTCGGAAATCACTCCTGGCGGACCAAAATGGACGCTGGGCATAGAATTCGGGTTGGTGGCATGCAAAGTAAGTGCTTTACCCACTGTACTATCGCTTCAATACCCAGGAACAATTAGACAGAAAGATGGGAAGGATTCTTAAGCCCGTTCTAAAGAATGGCTATCCTTCTACTAGTCTAAAACCCCATCCTCTGAAAGGAGTGGACTATAGGTTTTTATTTTGTATGTGGTTTTATTTTGGGGTGGTTTGTTTTTCAGCCCATATCCAGGGTCCTCAGAGCTACTTCTCGCTCAGTACTCATGGGGACTCTTTTTGAACTATCTCCTTGGCCCCAATATGTTCTTTTTTTCTTTTTTTTTTCAAATGTAGGAGTACTGCTATTTATTCAGTCACTGATTAGCTGATTAAATTGGGCATGAACTAGGCCCCAATATGTTCTTAAAGAGCACACCAGATTTATTATGCCATCTTGTCTGTAGCCTTTCCTTCTACAATTTATTTATCTGGTGTGTTAGGTCCTCTTCTTGCCTCTCCTAGGAACAGTGCTACCTTTCTACAAACGAGCACAGGGACAATCATTCTTGTAGTCAAAGTTGTGTGGCCACAAAAGAGAGAGCGAGCCAGCAGGAGAGGGAGAGCCAAGACACCCTGGTCTTCTTGCTTGTGTTCTTTCATGGCATGGCCTGAGAGCCCGGAAGCCCCTGAGCCTGGTCACTGTGAGATTCAGTTACAAAGCTTTCCTGATCGTGATCCAGGTTCAGTCAGACAATGCTCCAACACCCATCCCTCCACCAGTGTACATTACCCACCAACAAAATCCCCGCATTCCTCCTGCCACCTCCTCCCCGCCCCCAGCCTACCTCTGCCTTTATGGCAGGAACTTTTCTTCTCTCTCTCTCTCTCTCTTCCTCCCTTTCTCTTCCCACCCCCCCTCTTTTCCCCTTTCTTCCCTCCCCCCCTCTTACTCTCTCCGCTCACTCCATGCCCCCCTTTTGGGCGTTATGTTTTGCAGTGCAGATACTGAGGTCATCATGTTTGATCCTGTACCCACTTCAGCACACATCTCCCACCCAGAACTATCCCTTCCAACTATCATTGTTGCAGTGATCCCTTCTCTATCCCAGCTGCCTTCTCTGACAGCCCTTGAGGCAGGCTTCCAACCGTGGACCATTCATCCTGGCCATTGTTTCTAACTGTCCTTGGGTGTTAATCTCATAGTAAGTTTTAATTATTTTTACGTCCCATAAATGAGTGCAATCATTCTATGTCTGTCCTTCTGACTTATTTCACTCTGCATGAGACTCCGTTAAAAAAACAAAAGTCTGTCCTCACCTCACTTGCCTCCGCCTGTTTCTGCTCACCCTGGCCTTCGGTATTCTCATTGATGTAGTTCTCAGCCTCCCACTGGTCCGTATCCCATTTTTCACTGGACACCTTTACGTCCTGCCGCTCACTAAGAAGCTTCATCAGGAGCCCGGTTTTGTGGACCACCTTGGCACACTCCAGTTGCACCCGGGGATCGGAGCAGTCCATTTTCAGAGTCCGAATTACTTGGGCAATGAACTTCCTCACATTACTGTTGGGGATAAGGGGCCGCAACTTCTGGATGAGCTGCATCTCAAGTTCGTCTCTGGGGTCGGGTTTCTGTGGGGGGGAGTCCATGTCGGTGGCCACCTTGTGATATTCCCACTGCATCTCGTTGGGCTGTCTGACAGCAGGCATGAGGCTGTCCTCCGTCCCCTCTTCCTCCTCAGGGGCAGTGCTTTGGATACCGGCAGTTTTCTCTGGCGGCACGATGCTTCTGGCATCCCCCCCGTTTGGAGCACGCGTGCTCTCCGCGGTCTTCTTTTCCCGACTGGAGCGCAATGAAAGGAATTGCTCCATGATAGGTTTGTCCTGGTGTCTCCAGGACAGAGACCGCCCCCTCGGCGGGGAGTTGACGAGGCTCTTCACTGCACCGAAAGGAGGCCTCCTGGCCAGCACCGGCCTCTGCGGTGCTGCTTCTTTTGTCGCTGTGTTCACTCTGGCCTGGGGTATTCTGCGGCCCAGCTGAGAGTCAAGTTTACGAAACAGGTAGTTCTTCCCGGGGAGTGGCCCGGGGCTGGGAACCTTCATGTTCCGAACTCGAGCACCCGCATCCTCTAAGACGCGTAGAGTTCTTTTCAGGTCTTTGGATGGGATTTCGTCCTCCGGTGGCACTTGGAAAGCAGCGGCGGCAGACAGGCTGCCCATGGAGTGCTGTTCCAGGGGCACGGAGGCCGGCGCCCTGTGCTCCTGGATGAAGGATGACTCCTCATTGAAGGAGTTTCCCACCAATTTCCTGGGCCTCCCTGCCAAGATAAAGTCTTTCGGTCTTTCCGGGGCCAGCTGCCCCTGCCGTCTTTCTTGGGCAATATTCCCCGCCGCGGACCAAGCCTTCCCTCGCCTCTGGCTGAGGGGAGTGCCCTCTTCTTTGAAGTGCCTCTTCTGCTGGCCCTGGGGATCCCTGAACATGCTGCTCCCTTGCAGTGGTTGCGTCTCCCACTCCTGAACATTTCCTAAGTGTTTTTTCTTTGGTGGCCCGACAGTTTCCAATATCTTCGGGAAAAGTTGGCGTATAAATTTGGGCCCGAAAAGACTGGAACGGACCTGTGTGGCAGTTTTCTCCTTCTTTCTAACTTTGTGGATTTTTTCTTGAATTTCTGCGTTGATCAGACTTTGAAGAACATGGATTTTTTTCACCTTATTGTAGATTTCACTGTTGGATTCGGGCTGTATAGAAATCCAAGCCGTGCTGGTTTTCGAAGGAGCCAGAGGATTTCCTCCATCTTGCACATCTTTAAAAAGAAACTTAATGAAGGATAACAATGTTGATTCTGCATCTATGTCCCCAACCTGTAACAAAGACATTATGGATTCTAGTCTAGTAAGCATATCACGCTGATGACTGTTGTCTAGGTGCTCGTGCTGGAAAAGGGACAGGCTGTTTCTCTCGGATGAGGCCTTCTCTGGTTCAATCGTCAGCTCGGTGCTGGTACTCTTCTTTCGGGCCAGTAAAGCCTTCATGAACTCCCCATCCATATTACTGATGTATTCTTCTTCATCTGTCAAAAAGGAAGAGCATGCTTTTGATCATGAAAGATAACTGGGGATAATTTTGGGAGCATCTACAGACATAAGTTCCAGCTAAGTAAACTAGTAATCAGTGAACAAGTGCCGTATGGTGTGTGTGTGTGGTGGGGGGGGGGCACAGGAAACCCTAAATTTACATCTGTGACTGGCAAAAACAGAAGGAGAAACAAAGTGATCATCGCTATTTATTCAGAATAAATAGGGCATGGAGTTCAGTACATGTATTTAGGATTATTCAACTGGGGGGCAGAGTGACAGTAGAGCAGATAAAGTCCTCGTCTTGTAGGCAGCCAACCTGGGTCTTATCCCCAGCACCCCATACGCTCCCTCAAGCCTTACCAGTTCTGACCCCAGAACACAAAGTTAGGAGTAAACTTTGAGCACTTCTGAGGATGCTGCCAAACAAGCAAACACACAAACGATAATCATACGATTATTCCACTGGTCCCCAAGGACCAAGTACCCAGTCTTCAGGACAAATATTTGCTGCTCAGTTAGATTCTTTACAGATCAACTATGATTTCTTTTCTTTTTTTTTTAATTTTTATTAGTGAAACACCATGAGGTACCATTTTAGATTTACAAATTTTTGTGCTTGGGTTTCAGTTATACAATGATTGAGTACCCATCCCTCAACCAGTGCCCATTCTCCACCACCAATGATCCCAGTATACCTCCCAACTCCCCTCCCCTCCTCCCATCCCACCCGCCTCTGTGGCAGGGCATTCCCTTTGGTTCTCTCTCTCTTTTGGGGTGCTGTGGTTTGCAAAAGAGGAACTGAGTGGCAATCATGTTCGGTCTATAGTCTACTTTCAGCATGCATCTCCCATCCTGGGAGGATCCTCCCAACACTCTTGATTTGCTGCTTCCTTCTCTATCTGGGCTGCCTTTTCCCCTAGCATATGTGGCTGGCCTCCAAGCCATGGAGCAAACCTCCTGGTACTTATCTCAACTATTCTTGGGTGACGGTCTCCCATTTTGTTACTTTATATTTCACAGATGAATGCAATCTTTCTATGTCCCGCTCTTTCTGACTGATTTAACTTAGCATGATATTTTCGATGTAGTACCACTTATATGTAAATTTCATCACTTCATCTTTTCTAACAGCTGCATAGTACTCCATTGTGTAGATGTACCAAAGTTTCTTTAACCAGTCATCTGTTCTCGGGCACTCGGGTTTTTTCTAGATTTTGGCTACTGTGGGCTGGAGCAATAGCATAGTGGGTAGGGTGTTTGCCTTGCACGCGGCCCACCAGACTGACCTGGGTTCAATTCCTCTGCCCCTCTTGGAGAGCCTGGCAAGCTACTGAGAATATCTCGGCTGCAGAGCAAAGCCTGGCAAGCTACCTGTGACGTATTCATATGCCAAACACAGTAACAACAAGTCTTACAACTGAGACGTTACTGGGCCTGCTCAAGCAAACTGATGAACAATGGGAGGACAGCGTTACAGTGCTACAGTGCTTGGCTACTGTGAACAGTGCAGCAATGAACATAGAAGTGCAGATGTCATTTGGACTGTAATTTTTTGCCTCTCCGGGATATATTCCCAGGAGTGGTCTTCCTGGTGAAATATTGGTATGTTTCTATTGATATGATCATATGGTTTTTATCTTTACTTTTGTTGATATAATGGATTATGTTGATTGACGTCCAAATGCTAAACCATCCTTGCATCCCCGGGATGTATGCCACTTGGTCGTGGTGTATGATCTTTTTGATGAGTTGTTGGATTCTATTTGTGAATATTTTCTTGAGGATCTTCACATCCATGTTCATCAGAGATATTAGCCTGTAATTTTCTTAGTTAGTGGTGTCCTTGTTTGCTTTTGGAATTGGGGAGATAAGTGCCTCATAGAAGCTGTTTGTGAGAGTTCCTGTTTTTTTTTTTCAATTTCATGGAAAAGCTTGCGGAGAACTGGCAAAAGGTCTTCTTTAAATATTGGGAAGAATTCGCTAGTGAATCCATCTGGGCCTGCGCTTTTGTTTTTGGGAAGACTTGATTTCGGTTTGATTTCCTTGATATGAATGGGTCTTTTCAGGCAATCCAAGTCTTCTTGGTTCAGTCTTGGGAGATTATAGGAATCCAGGAACATATCCATTTCTCTAGGTTATCTTGTTTCATGACATACAGACTCTCAAAGCAGCCTCTGACAATCTTTTGAATTACATTGGTTTCTGTTGCAATGTCCCCTTTTTCATTTCTGATTCGGTTTATTGGGGCTCTCTCTCTTTCATTGTGAGTCTTGCTAGTGGCTTATCAATCTTGTTTATTTTCTCAAAGAACCAGCTCTTGGTTTCACTAACCTTTTGGATTGTTTTTTGGGTTTCCATGTCTGATTTCTGCTCTAAGTTTTATTATTTCTTTCCTTCAGCGGGGCTTGAGTTCCTTTTTTTGGTTATTTTCTAAGATCGTGAGCTGTGAGGTCAGGTTATCTAAGAGGCCCTTTCTTCCTTCCTTAGGAATGCTTGCAAAGCTATACATTTTTCCTCTTAACACAGCTTTAGCTGCATTCCATAGGTTCTGATAGCTCGTGTCTTCATTCACATTTGTTTCCAGGTATCTTTTGATTTCGTCTTTGACTTCCTTCCTGACCCACTCGTTGTTCAACTTTGAGTTGTTTAATTTCCAGGTGTTTGATTTGTCTCTCCGTGTCTGCGTATGCTTCGTTCCTATCTTCAACACATCGTGGTCTGAAAAGATTGTTGATACTATTTCTATCTTGCGGATTCTATTGAGGTCGGTTTTGTGACCTTACATGTGGCCTTTCTATTTTGGACAATGTTATGTGTGCACTGGAAAAGAATGTGTATTCTTTCTTTTTGGGGTGTAAAGCCCTGTATAGGTCTATTAGCCCTCTCTCTACTATTTCTTCCTTCAAAGTCAATGTCTAGCATGCTGAGTTTTGTTCTTGTTGATCTATCCAGAGATGATAAGGCAATGTTGAAGTCTCTGACTACTATTGTGTTGCTAGCAATGTCCTCCTTGAAATCTGTTAGCAGTTGTTTTAAGTATTTAGCTGATCCCTCATTAGGTGTGTATGCATTTAAGAGTGTGATTTCTTCCTGTTACACATATCCCTTGATAAACTGAAAATGACCTTTGCTGTTCCTTCTAGTCTTTTTCAACCTGAAATTTATGTTGTCAGATATTAGTGTGGCTACCCCAGATTTTTTGAGGGAGGTGTTTGCTTGCAAGATTGTTTTCCATCCTTTAACTTTGAGTCTGTGTTTGCTCTGACCATTCAGATGACTTTCTTCTACGCAGCAGAATGTTGGGTTCAGTTTCCGCATTCAGTTTGCCACTGTGTCTCTTGATTGGTGCATTTAGACCATTGACATTGAGAGAGATTATTGTTAGAGGGTTTTGTGCCATCTTTCTGTAGGGACTTGTTGTGCTTGTAGGGTGTTTTCTTGTCTTATAGAAGCCCTCTTAGTGGTTCTTTCAAGTTTGGCTTTGTCTATGAAGTTCCTGAGCTGTTGTTTATCCATGAAATAGTGTATGATTCTTTCTGAGTTAGAATGAGAGTTTAGCTGAATAGAGTACTCTTGGTGAGGCGTTCATTTCATTGAGTTTTTTCACTATATCCCCCCATTGCCTTTGGGGTTGGAGGGTTTCCTCTGATAGGTCTGCTGTAAATGTACGGGGTGCTCCTTTGTATGTGACTTCCTTCTTCAGCCTTGCTGCTTGCAGGATCGTGTCTCTATCCATATCATCCATCATTCTGACTCTGATGTGTCTTGGAGTCTTTTTATTAGGGTCTCTTTTACTTGGCACCCTTTGGGCTCCTTGGATCCGGATGCCTGCATTCTCCAGCTCTGGGAACTTTTCGGCAATGATATGTTTAACTGTGGCTTTTCCATTGGGGTTGCCTCCCTGTCCTTTTGGTACTCTGATGATTCTTACTTGCTCCTCTTGGATTCATCCCCTAGGACTCTGATTCACCCCAGGGCTATTTTGAGGTCTTTCCCCATGGTCTGTTGTTGTCTGTAAGCTTTCTGGTGCTCATCTTCAAGCTTACTGATTCTGTCCTCGGCTGTAGCCATTCTACTGGTGAGGGCACTCAATGAGTTTTTTATTTCATCTATCAAATCCTTTATTCATGACATTTGTTTGCAGCTTTTCTATTTCTGCTCTCATTTCTTCCGGTATTTTGTTGGCTGCCTGTTCACTGTTTCATTCAAGTCCTCTTTTAATTTCCTGGATGTCTGTTCCACTGTTTCTTTGAGTTCATTGAACATCTTCAACATTTTGATTCTGAATTCCTTATTGGAGAGACTGTTTTTGTGAGTAGACCCTGTTGGGGGCCTCTGGACCTTTTTCTTCATCTTCCCCTCTTGGCGTGGTGGGGATCTGTGCTGTTTTTTCATGTTGTGGTGGTAGTATGAAGGTGGGAACCACAGTTCACTATGAGTTTTCCCTCTTGGTTAATTTGGGGATTCTGGGTGAGCTCGGTCTAGTGGTCGCCTTTTTCCCCTTCAGGAGTTGTGGCTTCCTCTCATGTTCTCCTCTGTGGCCTCTAGTGGAGCTTCGGGGGATGTAGTCCTCTACATTGGACTTGTACATGTCTATGGGTATTATGGTGCAACTGGGATGAGCTAGTGGATTATTGGCCTAATGTATTAGAGATGGCCGAGACATTCTCCCCCGAGTTACGTGATGGAGGTCAAGATATGAGTCCAAATTGCTAGGAAAGGGGAAAATAACTGCTGCCCTCAGAGTAGGCCATTCCCCCTATCCACGCCCCCTAGCTCAAAGGCCAGGCTCCCTGGCTCAGAGGCCACACCACCAGGACCAGGCTGCATGCTGGTTCCCTGGTTCGCTGGTTCAGCTGGGACCAGGGGAGCCAGAAACAGTAGCTGGGGGTTGGAAGGTGCTGTTTCTCTTTAACTCTTTGGTGTGCTAATCTTGTTACTGTCATAGGTTACTGTCACAGACAACGAAGAAATTCCTCCAGAAATCAGATCCTCTTCTGAATGCACCCATCCTCCACCTACCAACTAATCACGATCACGATCACGACCATCCTGTTGTTCATTGATTGCCTTGAGCAGGCTCCAGTAACGTCTCCTTCATCCTAGCCCTGAGATTTTTTAAAAGTGCCATATTAAAGGCTCTTTCAGGGTTAGGAGAATGAGCCCCATCATTGTTACTGGTATTGGGCATATTGGGTACACCACGGGGAGTTTGCCAGACTCTGCCCTGTGGGCAGGTTACATCTGGTAGCCTACCATTTTGTCCAAAGTTAGAATGAGATAATAAGGTGTTGCGCAGCCGCAAATGTGGCTGCGCACTTCTGGGATCTAGGTTTTATAGTCTCTGGGTCTTGGCTGCTGATGGGATTACATGGCGCCAGGGGGCCAGTTGGTGGGTGTGACCCCTGCCTACTGGAATATGGAGGATCTGGGTGGAGGATGCTCAGCCCCGATTGAGCAGGCTTGGAGATCTCAGCCCCGGGACCCGTATGCCTTTGTTCCTCTGCTGGTACCTTCATGCGTGCAGAGAGCGGTCTCAGCATGGTGGTGGCTGGTTCTGGAGGTCTTTGGCTGCCAGAGCCCTGGTCGGGACGGGGAGGGAAACTCAACCCACTCCCCTCTAGGGGCCCTTGCGAGGACAGCCAGGCGCGGGGGCAGGAGACTCTGCGCTGTTCTCTTCCAGGATCTGGGTTTTATAGTCTCTGGGTCTTGGCCGCTGATGGGATTACACGGCGCCAGGGGGCCAGTTGGTGGGTGTGACTTCTGCCTACTGGAATATGGAGGATATGGGTGGAGGATGCTCAGCCCCTATCCGAGCAGACTTGGAGATCTCAGCCCCGGGACCCGCATGCCTTTGTTCCTCTGCCCGGTACCTTCATGCGTGCCAACTAATACTTTTACCAACTAATACTTTTGTTTATTAGCCCTCAGTTTCATATTGCTGAATCTGGACAGATGTCTAAGTATAGGTTAATGGATTTGCCAGAGTATATGTCAATGTGCAATGTTGAGAAAATCTATAAAATAATTTGTTTTGTTTTGTTTGGGGGCCACACTTGGTGATGCTCAGGGGTTACTCCTGGTTCACTGCTCAAAAAATCACTCCTGTTGGTGCTTGGGAAACTGTATAGTATGTCGGCAATGGAATTCAGGTCATTTGTGTGCAAGGCAAGTCCCCTACCCACTATACTATCTCCCTACCCGCTGTCCTATCTCTCTGGCCCCTGAAATAACATTGGAGATCCCAAAATTGGGGAAAACAACTCTTATTAGATGTGTATTTGCCTTCACTTACTTCCTAATACTTCCAGCTCTACCTAGGGAACCATACAAAGTTTCTGACTTCTTGAAGGTCAAGTGTAAAATTGTGCAGTTGGGTTTCTTTTGGTGTGGGGGGCGGTGGGGCCAAACCCAGCAATGCTCAGGGGTTACTCCGGTCTCTGTGCTCAGGGATCACTCCTGGTAGTAATTTGGGATCATCTGAGATGCTAGGGATCCAACCCACGTCTGCCATATGCAAGGCAAGTGCTAGACTATCTTTCCAACCAAACATTACTGAGAATTAAAAGTTCTTTTGGTGGTGGTGAAATTTAGAGGGGGGAGTTAAGGGATGTGAGGAAGAAGCATGGACTTGCAGGGAGTCCCAGACTGGGAACACAAGATCTAGGCATTAGGCACATTTAACACTTTTTGTTTTTCTATTATTCACTTAAAAATGCTATTAGTATTTTTATTCTGAATTTAGATTATTTGGTTTAGTTATTCTTTGTGACTGGAGCAATAGCACAGCGTGTAGGACGTTTGCCTTGCATGCAGCCAACATGGCCGACCTGAGTTGGATCCCTCCGCCTCTCTCGAAGAGCCCAGCAAGCTACCAAGAGTATTTCGCCCACACAGCAAAGCCTGGCAAGCTACCCATGACATATTCGATATGTCAAACACAGTAACAAGTTTCACAATGTTACTGGGCCCACTCGAGCAAATTGATGAACAGCGGCAGGACAGTGATCAGTGATCAGTTATTCTTTAAATAACATTATTAAAGTTGAAGTAACATGATTACAAAATACGAATGCTATTGATTTCCATGTACAAAGTGAACTTTACCTGGACCACCGCCGAAGTGCTGAGACACCACAGTTCGTACATCCCCTCTAATCTGACTCTTTCCCCGCCCCCCCCAACAAATCCCCAGGTTTGATGTTCATGTTATGAAAGGTGATTCGTAAATCTTGTTATGCCCATCTCTGAGAAGAGAGTAATAGACATGTTAAAAGTTGATTTTAAAAATAACATCTTTGTGTAAGAAGCAATGTAATCTGATGTGCCGAAATGCTGATAGCGAAGCAGATTCATAATATCCCGGCATGAAAATACGTTTTATGGGTGGTGTATGTGTGTGTGTGTGTGTTGTGTGTGTGTGCGTTGTGTGTGCGCATGTGCTCATGCATTCGCCATACAGCAGTGCCCAAGGAATACTCCCAGCAGTTCTTCGAAAATTATTTTATGGGGGGATTGAACCCACACCTCCCACATGAAAAGCATGTGTTGCAACCTATTGATCTATTTTCCTGGGCCCCTAAAAGGACATTGCGGAAGTTATCAAGTAAACTTACTATGTGGAAATATATAAGGGCACCTGAGTGCTTTGTGGATTTGAAGGGTTAAAATTCAAAGTAGGTTTGGAGGTGGGGATGCTCTAAGAATCCATCGTTAGAAGGACTGAGTGGCAGCCTATGCTTAGAAAACCAGAATTTCTCAGGCTCTAAGCAAAACGTTCATAAGATAGTATGACTTGTACTTGCCTATAAAATTATAAAAACACATGCAATAAGGTAGCTACACCAGTCCTATAAAGAAAAGGGCAACTGATATTTCTTGTGTATAAAATCTGTTTGCAAACTGCATTGTGTGGCTGAGCTCTCATCTGGAGGACCAACACCTTGCCCAGAGTGTGGCACTCAGTTGTGACCATGAATGATAGCTCCCTTTCCCACTTCCATCCCTTTCTTCCATTCCTCTTAAACCTTCAGGTCATTCATATACTGCGAAGGTAATGATGTGGCTGAGATTCTGACTTTTGCCAAGGGAAATAGCTCATGGAAATATAGGGAGTTGAACTCTGAATAAAAATAATGCACTCCATAATCAGCTTCAAATGTACCATCAGTGATTAAAATAAAAATGAAACATAAATTAAAAACCTATCAGCAGGCAATCCAACTCACCACAGTGTGTGCTGATAAGACATTCACTGTCACAACGTAGTTTGACTGTCTTGTAGACAACGTCAATATTATTTTTAAATTGGCAGAGGCAGCAGGTTAGATGGTTAGGTAAGATCCTATGAATGGAAACACAGAGAATTAAGTGCAGAGTCAAGAGGTTACTTTAAATAGGTAGAAGAGGCAGTCAAGGCCACTGAGCAGCTATTGAAAAAGTTCCTGAGAAACATGGATGAGGTGTTGCTCAAACTCTGAGGTGGTGGGAACCCAACTGGGAGGTGATGCATGCAAAGCGTGTACTATTGCTCCAGCCCTCAGAAAACTGAGTTTTGTTTTTTGGTCATATCTGGTGGTGCTCAGGGGTTGCTCTGGGCTCTTGGCTCAGGGATCATTCCTAGCAGGCTCGGGAAACCATAGGCAGTGCGAGAGGCTGAATGTGGGTTAGCCACATGCAAATCAAATACCTAACTCACTATCCTATCTCTTCAGCTCCCAGATAACAATAAAAAAACATCAGTTACAACCTGGGGTGTTATTTCTCTATGGATTGATCAGTCGGGGGCACAGAGATAAGCAACATTCATGGAATGAGGTAGCGTGGAGGGCCAAGAGTTCTCTCAGACAAATAGCATTAATCAAACCCAGCAACCTTCTTTTATTGTAATACAGTACACTAGGGGATGCATCACCAAATCCATGTGGACAAAAGGCTATTGATCTTGCTCTGTCGATGATTAACCTCCCATCCCCATATTTCAATCATCTACATTTCCGTCTAGACAGGATGTCCCCTCTAACTTTGCCTAAACAAAGCATAGCGTAATCAATCAGTGTCAAGGAGTAGCTGCATCATGACATGCTGACCCCTGCCCAGTTCAATCAGAGTTCCAAGCTGCTTCCAGCATGACACTGAAAGCAAGGCAGTGTCTGTAGGAACTTCCTCATGACTCTGGTCGGGCTCCAACGTCTCCCCCTTTTTGTTTTGCAGCCAGCTTAGCCTTCATGACGACATGTGCAGCGTGTTGTTATTGGGCTATTCTGTTTTGTTTTCTGAATTTTTGGCAGGCTATGTAAAAAAGAAACAACAGAACAATAAGTACAGACATACTAATAAAGCCCATCACAAGGACTAGAATATACTTCTTAGGATTTAGTTGAGTGATCCCATCCAACAATCCACCCCCAATGGTATCAGGTCCCCAGACTTGCAAGTGGGCCTGAAATACACAGTGAATGTTAGTTTGCAACTCTATAATTTTGTCGGTCATATTTTTGATGGTTTAACAAATACTTTTTAACCTTTTCCCATGGAGATTCAGACTCATAATAAGGTACAGGAGTTATACAAATGCAGAAGTATTCCAATCACATTTTAGAGTGTGTTGTCTTCTTAAACTCGGTAGCTGGTCACCGAGTAGGGTAACAGTTCGTGTAACATCGGACAATTCCTCTTGTAATCCTGCATCAACTTGTCACTGGGTTGTCCACAGTTTCTGAGAGTCCTGATGCCCTTTCTTTCTTTCTTTCTTTCTTTCTTTCTTTCTTTCTTCTTCTTTTTGCTTTTTGGGTCACACCTGGAGATGCACAGGGGTTACTCCTGGCTCTGCACTCAGAAATTACTCCTGGCAGTGCTCAGGGGAACATATGGGATGCTGGGAATCGAACCAGGGTCAGCCACATGCAAGGAAAATGCCCTACCTGCTGTGCTATCGCTCCAGCCCCCTCGTGCCATTTCTTAACAAACTCAGCAGTCTGAGATCCTTGCCTCAATGCAATATGAGCCGTTGCTGCTGTAGCAGTGATGGCAACGAGTCCCATGATAATGGCAATTACGAGTCCTACAAACCTCTTTGTGTGTGGCGCCAGGGGAGTGACCAGCCGGCGAAGAATGTTGGTAGCTGGACTGTCTTCCCACAAGCGGTTAAGCCACACAGGCATCTAGACCCCCATGGAAGCTCTAAGAAGATAGATGCTTTCTTCTGCTGTGAGACTCATAGTGTTATTAATACAAGTGAACATAGAGCAGTCACTGCAAGATATTACCTCTGCTACTTTATCCCAGCTAATTCTCCCTTTCAGCATGGCATATGGCAGTGGAACACAAGCCTGTATATAGCGGGTAAGATTTCTATCAAAATGTAAAGTACGTTTTGTTCCGACATTGTTATGTTGGATAAAACTGTCCGGGCTGTCATGTATCCAAAAGAATTCCCTATTTTCCATAGATGATTTTGTTTCTTATGCCCAGGAAGGAAGGGTGTAGGAGGCGGAAAGCTACCTCCGCACCCCATTATGCCAATATTCACTGTATCACTGTCATCCCCTTGTTCATCGGTTTAATCAAGTGGGCACCAGTAACGTCTCCATTCGTCCCAGCCCTGAGATTTTAGCAGCCTCTCCTTACTCATCTTTCCCAACATATTGGAGGCTCTTTCTGGGTCAGGGGAATGAGACCCTTTATTGCTACACTTTTGGCATATCGAATATGTCATGGCTTGCTTGCCAGGCTCTGATGTACAGGTGGACTCTTGGTAGCTTGCTGTGCTCTCCAAGAGGTATCTATCTTATCTATCTATCTATCTATCTATCTAGATAGGTAAGTTGTTGCTTTCTGTCTGAACCCCATCAAATCTGGTGTGGCAATTATGGAGAATGGGTAGGAAGTGTCTTGTGATATGTCGCAGCCGTGCGGTCCAGGAATATGTTCACTCATGTGAGGCTCGGCCCAAGCAAGTAGGGAGCGGCCTGGAGCGTGGCTGCGGTTGGGTTGTGGAGGTCAGTTGCTGGGGCTGGGTCCCCTGGGGCGGGGAGGGCTCTCACTCGTCCCCCTCTGGGGCATCCTGCATGAAAAAAGCCTGGTGCAGAGTCTGGTTCATGGTTATGGGGTCCTCATTTTATGCTCCCTTCTGGAGGGTGGCCGATGAGAAGATTATCTGGCACAAGCAGGGTGTGGCTTATCGGTGTGACCCGTGGGTCACCGGAGACTGGAGGAAGCGGGCAGAGGATCTCTGCTCCTGGCTACCGTTTAAGCCCGGAGTCCAAGGTCATAAAGTTCTGCATTACCTGGTTTCCGTAGGACTTCACTCATCCGTGAGGCTCAGCCCGAGCATATGGAAAGTGGCCTGAGCATGGCAGCAGTTGGGTAGTGGAGGTCACTGCTGGGGCTGGGTCCTTTGGGGTGCCCCAAGTGAAAACAGCCTGGCACGGAGTCCAGTGGCATGGTTATGGGGGCCTCATTTTATGCTCCCTTCTGGAGGAACAGCTATGAGGTCTGGAGGGTAGCCTATGACGAGGTTATCTGGCGCTGGCAGGGTGTGGCTTATGGCTTATGCTAATATTAGAGTTAATTATAATTTGGGACACTTCGGAGCCTTGTATTGCTCCCCAATTCAGAATATTCTTTAGCTCCTTTTGCCCAGGCTGAGCCTACTGGACTCCAATCAATAGTTTTTCCATAAGAGGAATCAATATAGATTCTAGCTTTTTCTCCTTTACATCGTTTCCAATATATCCAGTTTTCTAATTCAATAACTTTAGGGAGTTCACATAGGAGGCAGAGATGGTAGAGTATCATAACTTTCACTTCCAGTATCCAGAAATCCATTTGCTGCGAGCAATAACAATGGCTTTTTTTTTTTTTAAGCAATGGCTTTTTATCAGATTCAGTAGAATTGTGATATTCAGCCATTCAGTACTGCGTGTGTGTTTTTAAGCAATGACTCCCGTTGCTAGTGCAGATAGGCATCCCTTCCACCCTGATAACATATTCAGGAAAATTTGTGCCTTCTTCTTTGGGTTTGATTAGGTCTCTACCATCAGCCTGGCACCAAGTCTGGTGGCACGGCTATGGGGTCCTCATGTTATGTTCCCTTCTGGGAGAAGTAGCCCTGTGATCTGGATGCTGGCTGATGACGAGATTATCTAGCGCTGGCAGGAGGTGGCTTCTGGGAGTGACCCCTGTGTCACTGAAGACTGGGGGAAACAGGCAGAGGATCTCTGCTCCTGGGTCCTGTTGAGCCCAGAATCCAAGCTCACAAAGTTCCACATTACCTGAGTTCCTTGGGACTTCACTCATGCGTGAGACTCAGCCCGAGTGAGAGGGGAGTGGCCAGAAGCATGGTGGTGGTTGGGTTGTGGAGGTCGACTGCCGGGCTGGGTCCCACAGGAGTAGGGGGCGGAATGAGAGAGACAGGCCCATCCCCTATCCCTGGAGGCCTGGAGTTTGCTGTCACTGAAACTGCATACCTGCACTTCTCATTGGGTTCTGGATGTTGGTGGCCCCTGGGATTTTTAGGGGGCAGGTGGGACTCTGGAGGTCATGCCCACAAACTGCCTCTGGCTGCTACTTAAGCTCCTTAATGGTCATGATCCAGAGATACACAAAAGAATTTCTGAACTGAGCAGCTCTCTGCCTTCTCCCCATCCTAATTATCTAAAACTTTAGAATTCCAGGAACACACAGCCACTTTTGTGGCCGAATGGCATTGTACTATTCATAACAAGCAATACAAAAGAGAGTATGAGGGAAATTGTCTGCCATAGAGGCAGGGGGAGGGGTGGGACGGGGGCGGGTATACTGGGGACATTGGTGGTGGAAGATGTGCACTGGTGGAGGGTTGGGTGTCCTATCATTGTATGACTGAAACTCAAACAGGGAAGCTTTGTAACTGTATCTCACGGATTCAATGATTTAAAAAAATAATAAATAAAATTACCATTCTGAAAATAAAGTAATGTGGAGTTCATGCCAAATTCAATTAGCTGAATCAATGGCTGAATAAATACCAGTACCCCTACAAAAAGAGGGAGAGAGAGAGACTGAGAGAGAGAAGAGAGAGAGAGAGAGAGAGAGAGAGAGAGAGAAATAAACAAGCCTTAAAAAAATTAAGTGAAATAAATGTCAGAAAATCAACTTACAGCTTTTCTAATTTAAGATTCATCATGAGGATGTTTTGAACTGCTGCAAGTGACACTTGTGTTGCTCCCATGTCTCTGAGGGAGAAAGCACAAGCATGATGTGAATCCAAATACAGAAGCTCTAGAGTTAAATAGATGAGATAAATGAAGTGATAACTTTGATTCTGGCTTTGCTGTAAATCCAGGTCAACTGTTTGCTGTAGACTATAATTCCAGAGAGCTCTTGCTGATAAAAGCCTTTTCTATCATCAAATTAATGACACTTTGGAGAATAAAAAAATTTCCTTCCTTCCTTCCTTCCTCCCTCCCTCCTTCCTTCCTTCTCCCTCCCTCCCTCCCTCCTTCCTTTTTCCCTCCCTCTCTCCTCTCCTTCCCTCCCTCCTTCTCTCCTTCCTTCCTTCCTTCCTTCCTTCCTTCCTTCCTTCCTTCCTTCCTTGTCCGACTTCTAAATTGCATCTACTCCTTTCAATGATTCTTTTTCATGTGAGCTGCGGGTGGCCTTGGATTTTGGCCACATCTGATAGTACATGGGGGATATGTTGGGCACTGTACTTGTGGGTTACTCTGAGTAGAGTTCTGGGGAACACATAAGGGGTCAGAGGTTGAATCCAGGCCTCCAAGCAAGCAGTGCATGGGCTCCAACCACTCACCTATCTGGTCCTCTTTTCTTTACTTTCTTTTTTCAATAATGTGTCCATTATTACTTGTTACTTTCTGAATAAATAATACTTCTACACGCATCTGTATGTTTCTTATCTATATGTACTCAACATAGCTCTTTTCCTCTGTTGGCTGTTGCCCATGTCATTCTTTCTTAATCTTTTCCTTTGAGAATAACTGTATTTCAATAATCCAGTGTTAAAATTAAAATTATAACTTTTAAATTCAATGCAAAACACTCTATCTTTGACAAAAGTGGAGAAAAATAAAGACAGCAAATCATAGCAGAAACCATATAAGCTACAAACTTATTACAATACTTACAGATATTTTAATGCTGGCAATTTAAAAAGATAAAAATCTTCAATAGTTGTTAGGGGATTATGGCTGAGAATTCTAAAAAAAGAATTAAAATTATATGCATAATCAGTATGTAGCATTAAAATTTATATTTAATTTATTGGCATGAAAAGGTAAAGGTAAAGGTAAAGGCCCTCCCGTTGATCGTCGATTTGCTCGAGCGGGCCCAGTAACGTCTCCATTGGAGACTTTGTTGTTACTGTGTCTGGCATATCGAATACTCTCGGTAGCTTGCCGGGCTCTCCGAGAGGGGCAGAGGAATCGAACTCGGGTCGGCCATGTTGGTCGCTTGTAAGGTGAACGCCCTACCCACTGTGCTATCGCTCCAGCCATTGGCATGAAATTTGAAGGTGAAAAAACATTATTTTCTGTGATTATTTATAATCACGCTTAGAATCCATAAAGCATTCTTTTTTTTTTCTTTTTGGGTCACACCTGGCGATGCACAGGGGTTACTCGTGGCTCATGCGCTTAGGAATTACCCCTGCTGGTGTTCGGGGGGAACATATGGAATGCTGGGAATTTAACCCGTGTCAGCCGCGTGCAAGGCAAACACCCTACCCGCTGTGGTATTGCTCCAGCCCCAAGCATTCTCCCTTTGAGAAACACCCAAGTCTCTAGATGACAAAGTGAAGGGGAACCGGGGGGGGGGGGGGGGGGAGAAAATAAATGTAGAGCAAAGAAAAAATATGCTGACAAATTTTTCCAAGTTGAAAACTCTAGGAATAGGGACCAAATAGAACAGCAAGTGGGGCACTTGCCTTGCATGCAGCCCACTTGTGTTTCATTCCTGGAACCTTACACAGGCCCTGGAACACACCAGGAGTGATCCCTGAACACAGCGTCAGGAGTAAGCGCTGGGCACCACTGGGCATGTCTCCCCATCAACCCCAAAGAAGAAATAAAAACCTAGGAGTGATGATGTCTGCAGAAGTCCTTGCTCTGCAGCAAATATTATTTCTAATGGATGCCTCTACAATTCAAAATGTTTCTTACACCCTGAGAAATTCAAACTACTTCATGACAACACACCCAGCTAAAGATTAAAATAGGGTCAATCCTTGGTTTTGGACAAAGAAGACATGGTCAATGGAAGAGGAGCTGTTAGAAGCTGTCTTCTTACCAGTCATTCCCACAGAGATCTTTGTGCCCAGACCTTTGTCACGCTGTATGTGATCACGGACTCACCTGTCAGTCTCCTGGACTTTCAGCTTCTTGAATGCCAGGGTCACCTGACTGTCACTGGTCTGACAATATCGGGTATTTACTAGATACTTCAGAAATAACATTATGGATATATTGGTCAAATGAACCAGTTCCTGCCCTCCCTCCCTCAGTTCCTCTCTCTTTTCTTTCTTTCTTTGGTTTGTGGGTCACACCCAGGAATGCTCAGGGATTACTCCTGGTGGTGCTTAGGGGACCATATGGAATGCCAGGCATCGAACCTTGGTCAGCCGCCTGCAAAGCACGCACCTTTCCTGCTATATTATCACTCCAGTACCAGAAGCAGTTCATTTTTGACAAAAGATTTTGTTCCAAGATGCTAGAATGAATTTTCTTCTTTTAAAAACATGCAAACTCTTTAAAACAAGCAAAGAAATACACAGGAGGGAAAAAAAAAACGGAAAGAAATTTTCAGTAAACTCTATTCAAGAAACATTGGCATACCCTTGCAGGATAGATAGATAGATAGATACATAGATAGATAGATATAGATACAGATATATATATATATATATATATATATATATGCCACGCTCCAGGCTGCTTTCCAGATGCTCAGGCCAAGCCTCACGCATGAGTGTAGCCCCACAGAACCAGGTGAGGTGGGACTTTGTGACCTTGGACTCCAGACTCAATGGGGCCCGGAAACAGAGATCCTCTGCCTGCTTCCCCCAATCTCTGGAGACCCAGGGATCATGCCCATAATACCCACCCTGCAGGTGCCAGATAAATACCTCATCTGCTGACCTCCACTACGCAGCTGCCCCCATGCTGCAGGCCGCTTTCTGGACAGTGTGGCCACAAAGCGGCACGCAACACAGCATAAGACACTTAATACCCATTTTCCAAAATTACTGCACCACATTTGATGGGGTTCAAATATGGTGTGAACTATGGGAATGCCTGTAACGGTGATTAGAGGCCTCCCTAAAAGCCTCCATCCCTCTCAGAGAGCCTGGCAAGCTACAGAGAGTATCCCGCCCACACAGCAGAGCCTGGCAAGCTCCTGCCGACCTCGCACATGAGTGTAGCCTCACAGAAGCAGGTGAGGTGGGACTTTGTGACCTTGGACTCCAGGCACGTACCCGTGGCATATTTGATATGCCAAAAACAGTAAAAACAATGGGCCTCATTGCCCTGACCTGAAAGAGCCCCCAATACGGCAGTGTTAATAAGGATAAACAAAGAGAGGCTGATAAAATCTCAGGGCCGAACTAGGCTGCCAAAACGAAGGACTAAAATGACTTTACTTTCAACGAACGTACGCTAGCATCCGAAGCACCCATCAAGGACCTGATGGTGCAATCGCAGATTAAGTATGACATCATTGGTCTGACCGAGATGAGAAGGCATCGATCACATCATGCCATTTACAACACTGGAGAAGAACTGTTCCTCGGAACATGTGACAATAGAGGCATCGGTGGTGTTGGTGTCCTGGTCAACATGAACTTGGCCATGAGCATTGATTCATATGAATGCCTAACAACCCAAATCAGACGATTATGCTTGAATAGATGTGGCTCACTGCTGGCAGTTTCCATCTTCATCGTCTATGCACCAGCATCCAACTACGATGAAGAAGGTATTGAGAAGTTCTACATGGAGCTGGGGAAGTTCTATAAAGAAGACCACACCTCCTACAAGATCATTGTAGGTTATTTTAATGCCAAGATAGGACTGAGAAGGTTGCCCAAAGAACTCCACATCGGGACCAATGGCCTAGAATGGAACGAACAGGGTGAGAGACGGTCTGAGTTCATCATGTTGACCAAGACCATACATGGTAACTCACAGTTCCAGAAGGCCAAATTCTAAACATTGGACATGGGAGTCTCCTGGTGGACAGTTCCACAGTGAAATTGACTACATCATTTTCAATGAACTGTTTTGCCTGACTGATGATGCTGTTGTCCCAAAATTCCAAAACGGATCGGACAACCATCTCCTTCATGCAAAATTCTACTTTATGGAGCAAGGAGAAGGGACTGCAAAGTTTAAGAAGAGAACTTCCAGAATGACCACCAAACGGGAGCTCTTTGGCACTATTGAGGCAACGTAGGAAGATGCCGTCGCTGACATCAACGAGGAATCCAATTGACTGGTTCAGCACCTCCATGACTGCTCAAGGAATGCCAAGAGTGGGAAAGTCACAAACAGATGCCTGTCTTAGGAAACTCTTGAGCTCATTTGCCAACGTGGTTTGCAGCAAGCCTCTGGCAATCACAAGCTAATGTCCGAGCTCGCAAAGCTGTGCAGAAAAGCGATAAAGGAAGACCTCAAAGAGAGAAGAGCAATAGTGTTGTCTGATGCGGCAGAAGCTGGGAAAAATATTCGCAACACCTGCCTGTCCTTCGCCAACTATAAGTAAGACCAAGATGACTGCCCTCCGATGTCCTGATTGATCTATCACATCTTCCAGAAGGGAAATGGAGAAGATTGTTCACAACTTCTACTTGGATCACTTCAACAGCCATGTCCAAGTGCCCACATACCAAATTCCACAGGATGGATATGTCGTTCCCAACGTCCTCCTTTCCGAAATCCGACACACCATTTTGTTGGTAAAGAAGTGTACAGAACCTGGCCCAGACAAGGTCAGACCCAAACACCTGAAGAATCTGACACCAGTACTGGTCAATACACTGGCTTGGCTCTTCACACTCTACCTATCTGGATGCAAGGTTCCTTCCCAATGGAAAACCAGCAGGACCATTCCGTTGTACAAGAAGGGAGACATCCACGACATTGGCAACTATCGCCTGATCTGCCTATTGTCCGCCATCTACAAGCTGTCATCCTGAATAGGATTGGCAGAACACTAGATGATGGACAACCATGCGTGCAAGCCGAGTTCCGAAAGAGATTCAGCATGATCGACCATATCCACACTACGCTCACTGAGATTTTGCAAGAGTTTAAGATGCCAAAGATGCCACTCTGCCTAACGTTCATCGATTTAAAAAAGGCCTTTTATTCTGTTGAGACTGACGTGGTCATCGAAGCCCTAGCCCAACAGGGCAGTCAAACTCAGTACATCAGGATCCTCTGTGGCTGTATTACGGATTCACCACTAGGATCTCACCATTCTACAAGAAAGTGATCATCGATGTTAAGAGAGGGGTTTGGCAGAGCGATACCATTTCACTGACACTCTTCAGTGCCACCCTCAAGAACGTCATGTGATGACTGGAATGGGAAGGAATGGGAGTAAAGATATACAGTCAGCAACTGCACCACCTCTGCTTCGCTGATGACATCGTTCTAATAACAGCAAACATTAACCAAGCATCACAACTGCTGGACGACTTTGACCGTGAGCATGAAAAGGTCAGACTGCAGCTGAACCTCACAAAGACAATGTTCATGAAAAATGGACTAGTTCCTGGCAGTTATGTATACCTAGGTCGAGAACATAACAAGACGAACAACCTGGCACCTGAGCTGCACAGGAGGAATAGAGCGGTGCGGAACACCTTCAAGAACGTTGAAGAAATAGCTAAGAGGACTAAGAACATCTGGCTCCATGGACATTTCTTCGACTCCACCGTTCTTCCTACACTAACATACACCTCAGAGACCTGGGACCTACGAAAACAGGATGAGAACGCTATTTGGGTCTCCCAAAGAGGAATCAAAAGAGCTATGCTTGGAGTATCACGCTTCACTCAAGTGAGAGAAGGAATCTGGAGATCCGACTTCCGTCAATGATCGAGAATCAGGGACACTGTCTCATTTGCCAAGGCGTCAAAAATCAGATGGGCAGGACACATAATGCGATTTGAAGATGACTGCTGGACCAGAGCCGCTAC